CATAGATAGTTCCAATAGAGCTTAAAACATAATTACTATTAACATGTTCTTTATTTTCATAAATAATCAATGCCTTTTCATAATAAGATTGAGCTTGATTTAAATAATCTTTTTTGATATAAACGTCACCTAAAAACATTAAACTTTCAGCTATATCAAGGTGCTCATTTGGAAGACAATCAAGTCTCATCTTTAAGCCTATTAAATAACATTCTAATGCATAATCATAGAATTCTTTTTCGAAAAATATATTTCCAATAGTATTAATCCAATCAGCATATTGTGTACGAGGAGAAAGTTGATCAATTAATCTAACCGCTTTCATTCGATACTCTAATCCAATTTTTTCATTAGTTTATGATCACATAAACAAGTCTCATATTCTCATAATTTCGAGCTATTTGAATTAAATTAGGTTTAATAGGATTTTTTTTCTTCATTTTTTGAAGCTTTTTCAAAATATTCAAATGCTTGATTATAATCTTTCATTTCATGATAAACAATAGCAAGATTTGTCAAACAATCTGTCATATCTTCATGATCAATTGGAAGTAAAATTTCGTTTCCATTTAAAGAATTTCATTATTGTCAAAAGATATACAATAAATCTGATGTTGAAAAATCTCGAAATCTTTATCATTTTGATTTTAAAACAACGTGTCGAACAAGACCTTTAAATAAAATAATAAAATATAAGATTGAAATTCAGATTAAGACACTTGTCAAGTGGTCTAGAGTCTATCGTTGACATTCAACATTCAATTATTATCGATCCAAATTATTAACAATACTTTCTAAAGAGTATTTCGATATTTAATTATCATCTATTATTATAAAAAATTTACACGAAGACATTGAAATTATACATAACTTCTTGTTTCTGTCAACGTAAGTCGTTTTGAAAATAATGGAGAAATATAGATACATTTTTATGTTATTAAAATAAAAACGAACAGATCTGACTTAATAATTCTTATAAAAATAGGAGAAAATATATCTGAGATATTATGTATAACTCATATCATACATATCATTATCTATTTCATTTCTTTCATTGAACGAAACATTTTCGTCTAGTACACGACATCTATTCGTTGAATATCCATGATAGAGACATTAAAATAAAATACAAGATAAATATTGTCGTTCTAGACCAATGATCATTATTCGATTTAAATCTTCTGTTAAAGTAAAAATAATGTTTTTATTATTTTTTTTTAGAAGTAAAATAAAAAATGTCAAGTGAAACAAAAACAACAATTGTGTTCGTTTCGGATGACGAGATGAAACGAGTTCAACCAGTACGTATTCATAAGAATGATTCTCAATCGAGTTTTAATTGAGAAGAATCAAATTTCGATAAGAGATATCTTTACTTTTTTGTTTTAAACAAATATAAAGATAACAATTCTCCTATGTCACTCCCGTTCCGAAAATAATTCATCTGAATATAAGCACAAAACTTCTTATCGTACTTGTTTTTTTCAGTTCTATGTAATATATGTAAATCAGAGATATTCTATAGTAATAGCAATTAACTGGAGATTATTAAGATAACAGAATTCATCTATTTGATAGCCATTTTTTCCCTATAAAAGAATGGATGAACATTCTAAATTATATTCTGTTATTTGTTTTTAATATATGAATGTACGATGACCGATCAAGAGAAAAATTCTGTTTATCCATTGTTTTTTATTGGTGGAATATCTGAATCGGTCATCGTATACATATAAAAGAAAAAAAATTTAGATTATTCGATGATTTCTTGACAACGATAAATGGCCATCAGTGAGGTAATTATTATAAGATAATCTATATTTATATTCTATAATGAATATAAAAAGAATGGAATAAAATGTAGTTGTCAAATTTGATTTCTAACCAGTTAGTTCGATTATGCTTTATTTGATCCATTATTCGACTACATATATACGCCCGGAAAAAATAAGTTAGAGTCGGTATTTTGTGGATATCGTTATCATAGCAGCGTATTTTTAAAAAATAATCATATATTCTGAAAGCGCGTGGAGTTTTCTATCAACCTGTATATTTGCCTTTTCGTTTGAATATATGTATTACCAAAAAAAATTGAATGTAATGAAGGCACCCTCATGTCCAGATTCCCACAGGCTTGATTTTGTCACTGTCACCAAAATTAGTTTTTAAAATTGTTCATCACTATATAATTAGCTGTTGAAAAAAGTAATTATATATTCTGATAGAGCTTGAAATTTTCTATCAC